GGGGGGGGGGCGCTCTTCACTTTCCTGCTTTTTCAGAGCAGCTATTTTTGAAGCTAATATATTTACCAGGGTGTCTTGCAACCTGAAGCTGAAAGTTGAAGCAAGCCTGTTGCATTGGCATAGCTCTGGGCATTGACCCACCCATAGCCTCATTAAAGATGGAAAACAAGCTGCTTTGTTGTGGCAAATTTCCACAAGCCCAGGGTGACTCCCTTCAGACATCTCTGTGTACCTGTGGGATGGAATGGGCTTTGTGTTTTACTGACTGACCTCTTCCTTCTGCCCTTGCAGTTGTCCTTGAGCTGCCTGAGTCACTGGCCATCACCAGTGGTTATGCCCAGCAGTACCAAGCTGTGCAGCTGCACCTGCACTGGGGCTCCCTGTTGGGATCCGGCTCCGAGCACATGGTCAATGGGCACTGCTTTGCTGTGGAGGTAAGGAGCCCTTATGGTGGTGGATACATCCTTTCCTCTCCTTGTGCTGGAGTGATGTCCTGCTCCTGGCCCATGGTCCTGATTTTCACTGGATGAATGCGGTAACTACTTGGCCAGGTTCCCTGCTCCCTGGGCAGCTCTGCAGCAGCAGAGTTCAGTGTAGGAGCCCATGCTTTGGTGCCAAATGCACAAAACAAGAGCCAAATGCACAAAACGAGCCAAATTCATGCTGCAGCCTGCGGTGCAGAGGTGAAGAGGAGACAGGATGCTCTGCCCGCAGGTGGGCTGGAGCTGGCCATATGTGAGCAGTGCAGCCTGTCCCTGTGCTGCAGCCCAGTCCTGGGCTGATGGAGCAGGAGCCATGGCAGCCCCCAGGCTGGGGGAGCCAGCTTCCCAGGCAGCTGCAGGGACTGTTTACTCTGTACACACTATCTTCTTGCTCTGCAGATCCCATCTGGTTTTATTCCTCCTTTGCTAGTGCTGTCCTCAAACTGAACCTGGCTCTGCAGTACAACCCCCTGGTATGTAGGGCAGAGCACTGGTTTGCTGTCTGTGACCGGGGAAGTTCCTGTGGGCAGCCCTTCATGCTTGCTGCTTTGCAGTGGCACACTTTCTTGGTCCCACCAGCATATTCCCTTCCAAGGAGGGGCGCTTGGCATGGGTGCATGTCTCTCCCAGCCCTTGCTCCAGCAGGCTAGAGCCCCATGGGGGGTGAGTACCTCCTGGAGGTGCCCATCCTGCATCAGGGTTGCGTGTTTCCCTTCCAGATCCATGTGGTCCATTACACCACCAAGTATGACAGCTTTAAGCAATGGTCCACCTGGATGGTCTGGCTGTACTGGGAGCTTTCCTGGAGGTGAGTCCCATAGCTCAGCCTTGGGAGAGAAGGGGTAGGAGCAGTGCTGGGGGGGAGTGGGACTGGGGGGGCAGAGGCAGCCATGGTTTTGGGGACAGGCAAAGGTGCAAATGTACCTGGGGAGAGAGAGGGCAGTACCAGAGGGCAGGGCAGCCCTGAGGAGGAAGGGGTCACTGGGACAAGGTGCACCTCTCAGGGAGCAATTCCTCCCTGCTGCCACTGCCATCACCACCTGGCCTCCGTTTGGCTCCTGTGCTTGCCATTTCTGTGAGGTCTCTGTGTTGCAGGTTGGGCCAAGGGAGAACCCATACTATCAGAAAATACTTGAGCATCTGTACAAAATCCAAAGAGAAGGTAAGGCCCTGTCCCACCTAGTACTTGTCTCAGGAGCTGCAGCCCAGCAGAGAAATCCACTGCACGGCAGAGAGGCTGCAGCAGGTGTTTACCGTGTGTATGTGAGAAGGGGAGCATTGCACAACTTGTACAGAAACAGCTTTCCAAGGTGCCCTCTGCTCACATGTGCTTTCCCCTGCCTCCAGGGCAAACCTACTGCCCTTTCTCCAGCACACTGGGTGCAGCAAGGTGGACCCTGGCACATGTGGTGCCAGGCTGGGCTGAGGGGATGCTCCAGGTCAGGTCTGTTCCCATGATCTCCATGCTGGTCCTGCCTGTTGTCCTCCAAGGGGTTGCCCCACTTGCTCCCATGGTGTTTCTTCTCCCAGGCAAGGAAGTCTTGGTGCCTAGATTCAACATCACAGGCCTGCTGCCTGCCAACCTGAAACTCTACTTCCACTACAGTGGCTCTCTGACCACCCCTTCCTGCTACCAGATGGTGAAGTGGACGGTCTTCAACCAGAGCATGCTGCTCTCTCATGACCAGATCCCTCAGAGCAATGAGCTCCATGCTCAGTCTTGCCCAGCCTCTCCCCGCAAGCATACACCATCTGTGTCAGTCCCCTGGGGCTTGCCTAGCTCCCAAAGGTGGGATGCACTCTGCTCTGCTCACGCTACTCTCCTTCCAGATGTCAGTGCTAAATAAACAACATCAACACCGCTGTCCTCCATTTCTTTCCTGTGTTTCAAGTACATGGGCCAGACGTGTCCATCAAAGAGACCTGGTGGGTCAGGAACAGTGTAGTTACGCGTACTTCTCCTCCTTTTGCATTCATCGTATGGAACTGCCAGGTAGTAGCATGTGTCAAAAAGGTCTATCAGTGGTTTGTAATTATAAAGCAGGAAGCCTTCAATGACCAATGACAAGCCTGAGGAATGATGACAGCAAACCTCTGCAGAACAATTTCTGGCTGGTGCAGGACTTGCACAGGTGATGGGTGCTGGCAAGTTTCCAGACCACCCTCCTTTTGGTGAAGCAGCTGCCTTCTGGTAAGGAGCACGTGAATGTGCTCAGGCTGCACCCAGCCGCAGATATGCAGGGACAGGGTGAGGAGCAGGAGTTGAGGCTTTGCATCTCTTTAGGAAACACAGTATTTGCATGGGTTAGGCCTGCCTGGCAGGTGACTTGTGGCAGCATTGGTCTTGGGGTCCCACTCTCCCCCATTTCCACACTTGTCTTGCCCTGCATGGGGAAGATCGGTTTCTAGGAACTAGTTTGTCCTTGGTTTTGCAGAAGCAACAGTAGCATGGCTGGGGGATGTATGGTCAAGGGCGAAGAGCCAACTCCTAGCATCCCAGCCAGATTCTTCATCCCCAAACATCCCCTAAATTTGGTAGGAGCTGCAGAGGTACAGGCTTACAACGAGCACCCCACTGCTGAGTGCTAAGACCTACAGAAAGGACAGTGCAGGGGACCCCTCTTGAAGGCTGTGCTCTGCCAGTGGGGCGACACAGCCATCCTGGCCAGGCGCACCATCCCCTGCCCAACACATTCCCATCTGCCCATCCTGTTTGTCCTTGAAGGCCTTTTTTGCATTGGTGGTTTCCAGTGATGAGTAGAAATTCCTGTTAACCCTCAGGTGTGACTATCGCTCTGCATTGCTGAATTCTTGTCCGTTGCTGCTCTCTGAGGTCACTTGGGTTTTTCTGTCCATCCTGTTCCTTTTCTGTTTTGATGGCATTTCCTACATTTTTTGTCAAGGTGACTAATAGAAACAACACACAGGCTTGGTTGCAGGCCTTTGGGCAATTCCTCAGTAACCACACACTGTGGTGCAGGGCACTTCCCACCTGCAGCCAGCTTGCTAACAGCCTTAGGCTTTTAATCACTATGGTCTTCAGCCTGGCTAGCAGTTTCCCACGTGGCACCACATCAAATGCTCCACTGAAGTAGGGAGAGATAAAATCTACCACATTTTCTTTTGTCTAGAATATCACTTATCAAAGATATCAAGTTAGGCTGGCATGCTCTATCTTTGGTAAACTTGTTAGATACTTCATCATATTTTCCACTTACCTCCAAGCCTTTCTTTCGCTACTTTCTTGCAGAAGCTGTTCCAAAGCCTCCAGCCATTGAGGCTGGGGCAATGGGGGCTGGCAAAGGCCAGGTGCCTCCTCCCGGGGAGCTGCTCACCATCTTGCCACAGGCAGCTGTCCCTGCAGTTGCTGCCTGCCAGGCTTGCCCCATGCCCCTCTCCAGGGTCTCCTGCAGGGCTTGGTGCAGTCATGGGGTGCTGCAGTAGCTCTGCTCCCTGCCTGCCTGCTTCCCAGGCAGTGGCAGCTGTAGTAGGGGAGTTTCTAGCTGGATTCAGTGAGGCTTTTGTGTGGGCTGTGGTTCAAGGAATATTATTATTATTTTTCCTTCCTTTCCCTTAATGCTCTTGGTGGGGTATTGGGGCCAGGCTTGCGAGCTGCTGGGGATGCAGAGGGCAACTCTCCTCTGTCCACTCATGGGCGATGGGGAATCTTGCAGGCAGCCCTGCTTTGACAGCATGGCCTGAAGCCCTGCAGGCTTGACATTTCCCTCCCCCAACCACCTCTGGCAACCTCTTGACTGTGCTGTCTCTCTTCCAGGTAGCAACAGTTCAGCAGCAGGTAGGTGAGGTGCTGGCCCGAAGGAGGGGAAGGCAGCCAGGGGGCATATCTGCCTGGGAAGGGGGGTCCTGGCAGCTGTGTGCTGAGCCAGGGGGCAGGCAGCCATGGTGGGGGTGCAGGGGTGCCCTAGCCTTTGCACAA